GATGTCACTGTAGCATCTCCCCTTCTCCTCTATCTGTGGCAGAATTTGTTCTTTAAAATGACTTCAGAGTGGCAGTGCTTTGCAGCGGGGCCTGTTGGACAGGACATGGACCAGGCTGTGAGATCAGCTTGTTTGAACGATGCACAGCCAAAAAGACAGGCACCTTGAGCAGCCAGGACTCATGTATGCGTGAGGGGAGATGATGCCTGGAAGGCTCTGGGGTCACAGCAGCGGCCTGAATGTGAGCTCCCAAAATTGAAAGGGCATCAGTGGCCGTGGCTGCTGGAGCTGGTCTGAGGCAGAATATCTCAGCCTCAAAGAACTGATCCTCAGCGTGGGCAGCCACACGAAGGTGTGCTTGTTGACCACACCAAGCACCTTTCTTCTGCTGGGGGCTCCAGACAGGGGCATTTCACCAAAGGTGCTCACGACTGATGTGGGTGCTGAGGCTGTGATCGCAGCGGGGCACAAGCCTACGGGCGCTGCCTTCGCTGTGCTTCATGACAATAGAGCAGGAATAAGGCTTTTGTTTTAAACAGGGAATGGCAAGATTATAAATGCTTCAGTTTGATGTGCTAGCATGACATGAACATCAAATGCACTGAATATTTAGGCAAGTTAAAAAATGTTATTAAACTTTTTCAAGTATGATGTCAATAAACTGGTACGAATGCTTCAATATTTACATGCACGGCTTTATTAAATGATTATTAGTGTGAGCACACTCTCTACCAGTCAGATGAAGGAATATATGCCATTAAAAAGTTAACTCTAATTTCCAATGTAAGATTGTCATTAAATTACTGTAAATTAAAATGGGACTCCCTCAGGAATTTAAAGAGATTGTATATCAGAGGGAAGACACTGCAGCAAATAAAGCCTGCATCTGTTTAGCCAATATCATCAGGCTCTTAAAACTGAAATACATTGATGTAATTCTTCATAGTTTCTATTTCTGTAAAATATTTTACTCTGTGTATGTGTGGTATGAAATCAGCAGGCAACAGAAATCATTAGACAACGGAGTCTAACGGAATCTGGAAAGGACAGCAGTTATCCTGGAGAGAGGAGATGGCCGGGGGGACATGGGGCTGCCGGCGGTGGGGCTGATCTGGTGTTCCTCAGGGCCTCTGCATATTTCAGGTACATTGGGGTGAGACAGATCTCAGTGAGGCTCTTCCTGTGCTCTAACTTGCTGGGTTTGCGTTGGCCTGGTGCTGCAAACTCCTCCCAGGCATTTTCTGTTCCCTGGGTTGTGGGGCGGTGGTGCCGTGGCTGTGAACATCACAGAGAGCATAGCAGGGAGAATGAATGTATTTTTATCTTGGCTGAGCACACTTTCTGTACTGATTGGGAATGTATTGCCTGGCTTCAGCTGGAAATGGCAAATACATCAGAAGTGAAAGGCAAATTCATCTGTGTATAACTTATGTCAGAGCTGCCATTGATGTGACAAACCCAAGTTATGCCAGACAAGCACAGTTGGACTGGAGTAAAATCTTCTGCTTTGTGATGCTCCAAAAATTTGGCAAGGAATTAAGTAAGCGCTGTCTTTCCAGCAAAGGTCTGAATATTTCAGTGGGTTGCAGTTCCCGAGACCGGGATCGTGATTTGGCATAGGGCTGGCCGGGACGTGCGCCGGGCTGATGGAAGTTCTGTCAAGCTGTGAAAAGGCAGCGCCATTAGGCAGAGGCTGGAGATGAAATGTTTTAATTAGCAGGCTCCATCTCCTGCTGTTTTGCCCTCAAATTCTTATCAATGTGAGCAGCTGGGATGCGGTGCCAAACCTGAGGATTGACCTCACATGCAGAGAGAAGCACCTGGGAGCAATGTTTGTGTGTTTAGAAAGTTGTGCAATTTGTCCATGTGTTTCAGTGCCCCCCGAGGAGAACGGTCCTTCCCTTCCCCTTTGCTCTGTCCCATTTTTGGTGGGGCCCAGAGGACCACGGAGACAGTGGGGTCAGGCTGTTGTGCCCTGTCTTATAGCATGGGAGCACTCCCAAATGGGGCACGGCTCCTGAAGGTCTCCTATGGACCAGCATGGGGGGGCTGTTGCCAGCAGGGGTTTGGGAGGCTGAGCTAGACTGGCAGTCCGTCCCTCAGTCTCTGTGAGCCAAGGAGGAGAACAGGACCATGGTGTGAGCTGGGCAGGACACAGGGCTCTCAGAGATGTGCTCAGAGCCTTCCCCATTCGACACTGGAACTTGCCAGCTCTGGCAGGGTCAGCTGCTGGGTCATGCCAAAGGGAACACCCAGCCATGCCTTGCCTGTCCCCAGGAGGAATGGGCATCCCCAGATCACAGATGGCATCCCAGAAAAGCCTTCAAATTCAGAAGTGCTGAGGGGACAGGACCAGGAGGATACAGCATGTATATGTGTGGGGGTCCTGGGGAATGCAGGGGTTCCTCCAGCAGCAGGAGGACCTGTGAGGTTCACCTCTCCCACCCCTCTGTCCGATGGGCAGCAGTCTGGCTGTGCTGGCCAGACCCCTTCCTTGCCCTGGGGGTGGTCCCGCTGTGCTGGAGCAGGGCTGGATTTGGAGTGCAGCTCTCAACTAGAGGCAGTAAAAATGAATAATGGATCAGCTCTTGGAAGACTGCATGTGGAGTCGAGACTTCTGAGATCACAGCAGAAATCCGTAAAGTAAGTCTCATTTGCCTGCAGTGTCTGGACCTAATTGGAGAGGGGGGTCAGGTACGACTGAGTTAGGAGGGTAAATTTTGAATATACAACTCTGTAATTGCTACACTTCCATGCTCTGAGACATTACCAGAACTCAGCAGTGAAATTACTTCCTTATTAATTTACACAGCTGTGTGGGGGAGGAGATGGGATGATTGCCTTTCTTTGGGGTGATCAGAGGAGTCCTGACCAGGTGTGCTTTGGTCGTCCTCCAGCAGCAGAGCAGGCATAGTAGGAACACACACAGCCTCCTGTCCAGCTTCAGAGGTGTTTCTATTTCTGGCTTTGGTCTCAGTCTTGAATGTAGAAGATAACAGTGGAACTCATTAAAATTAGAGTGGTTTTCAAGGGCCTTTAATGATATCTTTGTAACACACTGTAAACAGAGTTTCTGTAGGATTTTTGAAACATTGCATCAGAGTCGGTGGAAATGCATCATTCCTTCACTCCTCCAGCGAGCAAACAACTAGGAGGAGGTGGGGGAGAAAGGATCTGTAGTCACATCCATGAAGGTCCCCACAGTGCCCCCAGTAAGAAAGCCAGGGGCGTTTGTAGGGCCAGAAGCTGTGCAGGGTCTCTGTGACAGCAGGGCAGGGTGCTGGGATGCAAAGCCTGCGGGAAGGGAGCCTGCCCCGTGCTTGGGACTGCTCGTACTGGAAAAAGAGTCTTTTCTACTCGAAATGCAAACCTAGCTGCTGGGTTTGAAAAGCAGATGTGGGGAAGCAAGGCAGTAACGTATCTTATGAGCCACCTGAATTTGGGCTGACCCCCCAGGCTTGCCAGATCCAGCATCCGAGGCTGTGGGGGCAGGCTGTGCCTGGTGCTGGAGCTGGGAACACTGGTGTGCCTCAACCTCCCTGCCAGGGCTCCGCATGGCAAACACCTGCGGGACTTCTGCGACCTGTAGCTCTGATAACCCAATTGATTAAGGTGTCGATTGATTAGCTGCCTGCTAATGAAGTGTTGGCTGATGCCACAGCAACTTCTGATACTCTGAGCTTTTCTCACTGGTGTCCCAGGCAGCTGCCAGACAGCTCATGCCTGCCACCCAAATGCACCTTTGCTGGGAGAAGTGATGTCAAACTTCCTTAAAGGCTACACACTATGCGCCACCTGGGTGGAAAAGAAGTAAAATACGACTGCAGAGCATCATAAATGGGCATCTCCCAGTGCAGGGTGTCACAGCTGCAGCCTCCACCCCCCTGTAAGGCAGCCCAGGACTAACCCGGACAGTTGCTTTTCACAGCTTGTGATTTGCATGGTGTTTGCACTTGTTGGTTGGAAGAAATGTGCAGGTTGCCTGTCTCTGGTGTGCTGGGAGCTCAGACATACCAAAAATGCCTGACTGGCATGGGGTTAGCTGTGCTTGCATCAGCCTTGTCTGGTGGAGCTTGGGGCATCTCCGCTGTGAGCCCTGTGCTCCGGGGGTGCTGGCACCTCTAGCAACAGGCAGGTAAAGCAGTGTTGTTCCCAGTGGGACAGGAGGCTCCAGATACAGCTTTTTTGCTTTTGTTTATTTATTTTTTAACGTTTTAGAGATGAGTGGGTTGATCTACCCATTAAATATCCTCACATACACATTGTGTATGAGAAATGAATTCTCCCTGCATAGTTAATGGTGGAATTAGAAACCAGCTTCTTGAAGGCAAGAATGAGGAATGGTCTAATTTTTCCCCCTTGCAGAAGAAGTTAAAAATGGAAATGGAAGCTATTGTACATCTTTTCCCAATTATAAATGTTCAAGCTGTTTACAAAGCAAGATGACAACAAACTTACTTTCCATTTAATGAACTAAAGATAACTGCAATGGGTATGAGTCAGCATGTAGAGCCCCTGAAACAAGAGTCTTGCACCTACATTTCTAATGGTCTGCAATAGGGTGGCCCTAAGGCTGTCTTTCCTTGCCTTTTTACAGGTTCCTGGGCACCAGCCTGATAATGCAGTTGTCTCTGTGCTTAATTTAAAACAAATACCCGAGTCTACCTCTGTCCAATAGAACTTGCAACTGCTGATAGAAGTCCCACAGAGTCACTGGATGCGATGCAGTGCTCAAAGCATATGGTTTTGCTGCAAAAGGATGGATAGGAGTCTGCACATGAAGGAGAGAATGGGCGTGAGACCAAGTTCCACTTGCTGCACAAAGAGTGGGATTACCAAACTATTTCTACCATTAATGTTTTTATATTATATGTGTTGTTATTATATGTTTTATATATATGTGTTGAAAGCCTGTATGATTTAAACTTTGACATCTTTAGAAGATACAGTAGTGACAAAATGAAAAGCTCTTCAATTTTTTTGTTTCTGTTTTTCTTCAGAGATTAATTTACTTTCAAGCATGCGTGCACGAGGACCACCACAACTGTGACAGTCTAAAGAACTACTTGCATTCATTCACCGTTTTCCAGCTCTGGTCTGGGCCGTGGAGCAGTGAAGGGGTCAGGGGGCTCTCCCTGGTGCAGCGGGGGGGAGCTGCCCTGCAGCGTGGCGCTGGCGGTGGATCTGCTGCGGCACCCGGCCGAGCTGGGATGAGGGATGAGCTCACAACGAGCACCGCAAAGGGACTAATTAAGGTGAGCAATTTTCCTTTGTTTCCATTCTTCACAGCAGAATAATTGGAAGGCAGAGGCATTTTTGCTTGGAGAAGGATTAATTTTAACTGATAAATGCCCTGGTTGCAAATAATTTTCTGTAGACTACTGCAGTGACATTATTCAGCGAGAAGACTGCTCAGGCAGCAGCCCAGCAGAACACTTACAAGTGAATTTGAGGTTCAGCTTCTGAGTGGTTCCAATTAACAAGAAGCACTTAAGGTTAGCAGATATGAAGAAGCTTCTCAGATCAGCGTCTCTGTGAACTTCTCTGGGCCCGTCCACAAAAGCACCATCCTCCTGCAGGGAACACGAGGAGCACCGATAGCGGTGTGAAGGCCCTGAAGAAGCATCGAAGCCCCAGACAGGGTGCTCCTCAGTGTCCCTGCAGTGTGCTCCTCTCCATACATAAAGAAACCCCCGGGGCCTGGATGTTTGGAGCTGCTTGTGAGCGGAGTGGCAGCAGCCCTTGTGTGGAGGGAAGCTGTCCTCCCCTCCGCCCCTCGGCTTCAGGTACCTTACTGGGGTTTATGGGAAGCATTTATTTGATTTTGTTTTAATGCACAAATGCACAAAAGGAAAAACATTTTGTTATTTTACTACTTGAAAGATTAGGACTGGTCTTTAAGAAGTCAGCGGTTGCTTTATGATCTGGTTCTGATTTATCCAACTGGTTTTCCAAGAGCAGGGTTCATGTGGATAACTAGCAGCCTTGGGGTTGTAGCCTTCTTTCCCCCTAAACAGAAGTCACACAGACTTTCCTTCCCAGCGAAGTTGGCTGTTGAAGCACGAAACATTTGGAAAAAAAAATCTCTACCTTAATACCCTGCGATGCGTTCATATGGAGTGGTGTGTCCCTAAGCTTGTCTGAAACAACAACAAGGTCAAAAATTAACATGCTGAAACTTCCAGTATTGGAGCAACAAAGGCAGCAGATCTGTGTAAAAAGAGAAATGAGCTAATTCCATGCCGCAAGGACTGGAAATGCTGCATGTTTCTTGTAAGAACAAATACTGAAAATGCTTAACATTACCAGGCTTCCACGTGTTGTACAATTTCTCAGTAATAGCAGAGAATTTTGAGTAACAATACACAATGAGCAATCTTACAGAGAACTGTGCCTGATGCTTAAAAAATTAAAGAAAGAAAAAAGAATTTGTAGAGCAAGGAGCGATAGGGGACAAAAGTCCTTTTCTCACTTAAAACAATTTTTCTGGAATCACTGGAAGTGACTTAAACTACAGGTTTCTGCAGCTCAGAAAAAGCTGCACAGAAAAGGCACTGCTAGCCATGCAGATAGAAAAAAAATAAAAAATAAATGAGAAAAACAACCAGCCAACCAATGCCCAAGGTACGGATTACTTGTCAGACATGGCTATCCAACACAACCTTCCAAGGAAAAAAAGGTTTTATTCTACCTGGCTTTAACTATATATATATGTTTTTCTCTCTCTCAACATGCAAAGTTCAAGGAAAAAGCTGTCTCCTACAGTTGTCCCTATCAGCATTGTGCAATTTCAGACTGACTTGGCTGAAGGTGTGTGTTTGACAGAAAGGCGCAGTTGTAATTTTTCAGACCTAGCTAGGGATGCCAAATAAATCTATATCTTCTTGACAATTACATCTTTACAACAGCTTTGGAAAAAACAGCTAAAAAGTGAACTTATTGACAAGCTTTCTTATTAGAGGAAGGTCCTTTGGCAAGCCCTGTGAAAGCAACATTTCATGATGGATCTCGCAGAAGCAGCAGGTGTGGGAGGCCAGTTAGAAATAGCTTTTTACTGACAAACTTTTATTTTAGAGGAAATTTTTCTAACAAAGCCTTAGCTTGAGTCATTTTACAGTGGATCTGTAAAAACACATATATGAAGTACAAGTAATTTTTGCTCGAGTCAAACCACAAAGGAAATTGGTTTCAATGCTTGTGCTGATGGCATCTGTTAACAAAGGGGCCTATTTGCAGGAGCTGGCTGATGTGAACACATACTGTGCATTTCTTCATTTCTGAGAGCAGCAAGGAATGGCAGGGTATGGAAAACCGATGGCAGCAAATTGTAATGTCAGTGCCTTCGCCAGAATGCTGCCCCTTTCCCTGGGTGTGAATGAGGGGCTGCATGGGGCTTGTCTGAAACTGCAACGGCTCCTTGGAAATGACTGACTGCTGCAAGGGAAGGATGGCTGGGAGAGAGAACAGCACTTACTGATAACTCCTAGGAGTAACACTACAAGCCAAACGGGAAGCATTTCTAAAGTCAAATATGAGATTAATTAACGTTATGTGTGATCTGGTTACACAGGAGAGCTCGAGCCTCCGATTGTACTGCTTGTTCCACACTCATAACTCCCCCACAGCTGAGCTGTCAGAGAGGACGAGTGTAGCTTAATTTGGTTTGCTATTTAGGACGTCTATATATAAACTTAAAACAGGAATATAGGATGTGACCCTGGGGGGAACCCTTATCCACTCCTCCTCTATTTGGCCTACTTCTGGTAATTATTTTTTTTCAAGTAGGTGCTTATTCATGAAGCTCAGCGCTCATCTTATAATGAGTGTCTGTAAATTCTGCCAAAATGCATTTTCTGGTGTTTTGTTGCAGGGATCTTGAAAGCTGAGCAGACAGCTCTTACCTGCCAGCAGCGTAAAGAAGCGGTTCCTGTAGCAAGTGCTTTGCAACCTGCTGCAGCGTGGTCAGGACCCTGCTAGGGATGGAGCCCTCCTGCTGTCCTCCTGGGCAATGTCCCGCACGCCTGCACGGTGCCTGTGGTTGCTGTCAGCCCCAGTGGTGTTCCTGCACAGTCGTAGCAACTTAGCAGGACTGAGCTGGCCAAACAAGGAGGGAGTTCACCTGCCCAGAGGAGCTCGCAGAAATCACAGCCTCTAAGTTCTGCGGAAAACAAAACAAGAAAGAGTGAAATCAATTCAGTGCTGGGAGAGAAGAAGCTGGCAGGACTCAATAGTGAACACCACCCAGTAGCTGGCCTGCTGGGTGCAATAATATTGAAGCAAAAATCAAAGCGACTCTTGCAGAAGCTGCGAGCAATAGATGAGCTGTCTAAATGGTGCAGCGCTGCGAGGACGAAGAGTGCTCAGAATGCGAGGCAGAGGCAAACACGGGGAGGGAGGCCGATTTGTTTGAGCAGGGGGCAATTAAATCTCCTGGTGGAATGTGAACATCCAGCTTGGGATGGAAATGCAACCAAACACACAGTGAGGTTGATCAGAGATTAAAAGAAAGCATGAGAATTCGGCCTTGCAAACGTTGCGCTGGCCCCATTAGCTGATGGGGTGCAGACCCCTTGTTTTGTGGACCCCTCCTCTCTGCAGACCCCTCGTCTCTGCTGCTGGTGGGTGTGTGTGGCTCAGCCTTCACAGCACCAAGCACCCGAAGGGTGCCAGCTGGAGGGGGGCCCTCCAAACCAGCCTAAAGCAGGTCGTGCTGCTGGGCGGGGATGCCCCATTTTGGAAAAAAGAGGAAAATATGGAGCTGATTATATCCATTTGCCTCACAGCATTGCTGTGTATTGAAATCCCATACCTAAACAGGAAAATCATAGTCTAGTTCTGATCCTTTGACCAGAATGATATCTGGATTGCAAAATGCTAAAGAGGATTAGAGAGCTTGCATGGATCTAAAAGAGGTAATAAAAGATTTCACTTATTCATCAGTGTCACGCAGAGGCTACGTTTTCAGATATAATGAAAAAATGCTGTTTGTTGGAGTAGACAAAACAGAAAAGCAACTGCAATTTAGTCCTGAGCAGCATGAAGATGGGGTTATAGGCAGAGCTATCAAAGATCCATATTGTAATGGAGATCATAGCCAACCTAAAACATTCTTGTAAAAGGCAGCAAGCCAAAAATATATATGATAGTAATACTTAACTTGAGAAGAAGAGCTGCATATAATGGAATATGGTAATTGAAGGATCAGATAATGCAGCAGAACCACTTGCAGAAAAGAGAGCTCAGTTGGATACAGTGGCTGAGAGGCTCCGAGTGCCTCGTGCCCACCGTGAGCACCCCGAGGACATCCCCTCTCACGTCTCTCCCTCCAGCTCTACCCCCACGACAGCCCCTGTGTTTCAAAGGGAAAGCGAAGGTGAAAAGGCGATCTCCAAAAAGTGCTCATCCTTCATAAAGGAGAAAACACAAAAGAGAGCATGCACAACCTAATTAGATTCGCCTTTATCAGGGCTTAAAAACTTTCTGAGGAGGAAAAAGCCTGGTACCTCATAGTAAATCTCTTGTTATGGGTGATCAGGATTGAGGTGTGTCGGAAACTTGTCGAGGCCAATAGTAAGTTAAAGCACAGGAGGGAAACAAGGCCACCGCAGGGAAGCTTGATGAACTCCTTGTGACAGGTGCTCTCCGAGAGGCGAGCTTTCAGCCCTGGAGCTGCTTTTTGCAGACGGTGAGTCTGAGGCCGCCGTGCCCAGAGGTCCTCTGGAAGACCTTTGAGGAGACGCTGATAAGTGCAGCCAGCAAGCAGGGCTGGGTGGCGATCCCCCAGGAGCTGGGGGAACCAAGGTGCAGCGTGTTTTAACACTAGGAGCTGGTCTGTAACCTATTGCTTATGTCAGTCCTGACGCAGAGAGCAGAAAAGATCTGATGGAAGATTTTTAAAGAAGGATGGCAAAGGTGATCCTGGAAGTCAAAGACCAGCGAGTCTGATTTCTGCATCAGCAATTCAACAGCAATGGTGGTGAAGAACAGAAGACCAGACTTCCCCAAACACATGAAATTCTCCTGACTATTGGAGAGAGAAACAAAACACATCTCTCGCCCATATGTTAATATCTTGTTTGCAGCACTCAGAATCCTGAGGGATGCCTTTCCTTTACAGAAAACAGCTTCCTTCCACCACGTATATTCTTTTTGTGTATCTTCAGATCCAGATCTTTCTGATTTCTCCATTTTCTTTGCTGTGGAAATACAGATAGCTGTCTGGTTTTAAAGCATTACACACAGGAGCCTACAAAACAGGGAGGTAAATGTCCTTTCAAATATCACTTTCAATGTTGGATTAGATAAACCTAACTGTTTACATTCTTTGTATTGATTTTCAACAGGTTTCTTGTGCGAGTCTCATCTGAAGTCATTTGGGCCACGTCCCAGCTCTTGCCCACTTCATCCCCTTGGATTACTGATAAACCACTTTCCTGACATTTTTGGTAGGTTTTAGTGCTGATCTGATCCAGTTTAGCAAGAATGCAGGTCTTGTGCCTCTTGTGCCCAGTACTCGCTCACTGGGACCCTCTGGTCCCTGTCACCAGAGAGCTCCACAGGCCTCAGTTAAATGTCACACGGAGAAAGCTGCTGCGTTACTGAATGCCTGGTAGGAGGTCGGGTGAGCTGGTGTGTTCTTCGTCATTCTTCAACCTTTGGTTTCCTCCTACTGTTGCTTTCTCAAAGATTATGAAGTGTTGTTGCAGTTCTGAATATGCCTGCTTTAATTTCTGAATGGTGAAAGATTGCTTTTCTTTGGGAGGTCATTCCCAGTTTAGCAAAGGCAGATTTAGTGTTTTTTTATTTTTTATTTTTTTATTATTTTTTTTTAGTTTTCTGTTTGTCTTTCTGCAGTCTCTTTTAAACACGGCTTGTTTTCAGCCCCATGCTAACTATAAGACATGTTTTATCCTAACTTGCACTTGTCTGTGTCCTTCACAAGAGCTGGTAGCTGCCAGAGCGGGTTCTGTTGTTTCCCCCCCCCCCCCTTTTTTTTTTTTAACCCCCTTCTGTTTAGCCTCCAATTTTGCCATTTTTGTTTGTTTTCCCCTGGAAAACATGTCAGCCCTGTTCCCAGTGTGCCTGTGGTGATGAAGATCAGAGTGGCGGTGGGGCTGGTACCACAACTCAGCACTGCCTGCTCTTTCTCCTGCTGGATTCTCTTCTGCACAGGACCTCTGGAAGTGGCAGTCCCCCCTGTTCCTCTGTAGCACCTAGAGAACAGTCACATACTTTTCTTGTGCAAAGTCTTAGGTCTCATTAAATAAAAATAAAAGTAAATAAAAATCCCTCCCTGGTTGTGTTATTCCTTAATGATTTATTTATCATTTATATTATCATATTTATCATGTCCCACTTTCTCTATTGCTCACCTTCTGCATTTCCCCATCCATCTGCAGGGGTGCACCCCATGTCTGCAGTACCAATAACTCCTCACAGCTAACAGGTTAGGAAGTCTCCTCTGCTTTGTGTGGGAGCACTTCCCCTTCCCTTTTGTTCTGCTGACTCATGGCATTTCCCCTGTGTTTTGCTCAGTAAAACGTGCCTCCTTCCCTGAGTCTTGCCACATTGAATTTTTTCTTTGTTTTCCCTTCTCTCAGCAGCTTTTGGTGTGGCAGCAAAATCAGTAATATGTGACTGTGGCACCCATGGCTCCCATTTTCCTGGTTGATCTCCAACCACTTTCCTACCCATGATCAGGCACCGCAGTAAGGTATCAAAGCACTGATGGGGCATCGGGCTGGGGTGGCTCAACCTCTGATCGGGGAGGCTGCTCCACAGGGTCTTAACACCTTGGTGTTCGTGGGGATGCTCGGAGATACCCAGTGCTGCCCCACTGCTGGAGACAGGAACTGGAGCATAACCAGCTCACAAGGCAAGCATCTCCTGGCTCACGAGCTTTCAGGATCTATTTTGCCTTTTCTCCAATATAGGATGCGGTGTGGTCTGAAAAAGCCCCTGCTGCAAAAGCTGCCAGACTATATTATTTTTCAGGTGCATCTCTGAAATATTGCTGCTCTTGGGAGCTTTCGCTGCTTCATGTTTGCAGCTCCCTGTCTGGGCTATTTTGAGAAGTTCAGATGACCACTGCTGGTACTAGACATCTGTACAGTTGGCAGTATTTAGCTCTCTTTTCATGTGCCTGGCAAAGAAGCTATCCCTGTGCCGATGGCAGAGGCTGCCTGTGGTGCTGGGACCCCCTGCCTCAGCTGTCCCACCTCAGGCCCACAGGGGTTTTAAAGTCACCTAGGTGTTGTTTCCTTCAGGAATGCCAGATAAAATGGTTTGGAAGGCTAATATCTGCTGTTAAAAGTGACTTTGGCACCGAGGCTTTTTTAGGTCTCCTATGGAGGCAGGCTGAGGGGGCTGGGGGTGTTCGGCCTGAAGGGAAGGCTCCAGGGAGAGCTCACAGCGGCCTGCCAGGGCCTGAAGGGGCTGTAGGAGGGCTGGGGAGGGACTGTGTGTCAGGGGGTGTGGGGATAGGACAAGGACACTAAAAAGGGTAGATTTAGATCAGAAATTTGGAAGAAATCCTTCCCTCTGCCAGCGGTGAGGCCCTGCCCAGGCTGCCCCAGGAGCTGTGGCTGCCCCATCCCTGGCAGTGCCCAAGGCCAGGCTGGATGGGGCTGGGGGCAGGGGGCTGTAAGGTGCCTGCATTCTCCTCAAGAAAATGGCTGCTCTTGGCTTGGACTGGCGCACGCTTCGTTGGGTTAGAAACTGGCTGGATAGCCGGGCCCAAAGAGTTGTGGTAAATGGAGCCAAGTCCAGTTGGAGGCCAGTCACTAGTGGTGTCCCCCAGGGCTCGGTGCTGGGGCCGGTCCTCTTTAACATCTTCATCAATGATCTGGATGACGGCACTGAGTGCACCCTCAGTAAGTTTGCAGATGACACCAAGCTAGGTGCGTGTGTCGATCTGCTCGAGGGTAGGAAGGCTCTGCAGGAGGATCTGGATAGGCTGCACCGATGGGCGGAGGTCAACTGTATGAAATTCAACAAGGCCAAGTGCCGGGTCCTGCACCTGGGGCGCAATAACCCCAAGCAGAACTACAGGCTGGGAGAGGAATGGTTGGAGAGCTGCCAGGCAGAGAAGGACCTGGGAGTATTGGTGGACAGTCGGCTGAATATGAGCCAGCAGTGTGCTCAGGTGGCCAAGAAGGCCAACGGCATCCTGGCTTGTATCAGAAACACTGTGACCAGCAGGGCTAGGGAGGTGATCGTCCCCCTGTACTCGGCTCTGGTGAGGCCGCACCTCGAGTACTGTGTTCAGTTTTGGGCCCCTCGCTACAAGAAGGACATCGAGGTGCTTGAGCGGGTCCAAAGAAGGGCGACGAAGCTGGTGAGGGGCCTGGAGAGCAAGTCCTATGAGGAGCGGCTGAAGGAGCTGGGCTTGTTCAGCCTAGAGAAGAGGAGGCTCAGGGGTGACCTTATTGCTCTGTATAAGTACATTAAAGGAGGCTGTAGTGAGGTGGGGGTTGGCCTGTTCTCCCATGTGCCTGGTGACAGGACGAGGGGGAATGGGCTAAAGTTACGCCAGGGGAGTTTTAGGTTAGATGTTAGGAAGAATTTCTTTACTGAAAGGGTTGTTAGGCACTGGAACGGGCTGCCCAGGGAGGTGGTGGAGTCACCATCCCTGGAAGTCTTCAAAAGACGTTCAGATGTAGAGCTTAGGGATATGGTTTAGTGGGGACTGTTAGTGTTAGGTCAGAGGTTGGACTCGATGATCTTGAGGTCTCTTCCAACCTAGAAATTCTGTGATTCTGTGATTCTGTGATTCCATCCCCAGCCATCCTGTGATTCTGTGAAATCAGCTTGTAAACACCTGTAAATCCTTAGCCTGTATTTCCCCTTGTTGTCTGGGAAGCTGAGCAGATCCCCAGCCCCGCATAAGGCAAGCATCTGGGCACACGTCCTGTGCACAGCTCCCACCTGGAGCCCC